CGACTACTACTACTACTACCACGACTACTACTACTACTACTACTACTACTACTACCACTACTACTACTACTACTACTACTACTGCTACTGCTGCTACTACTAGTACTACTACTAGTACTACTACTACTCGACAACAACCACAACAACCAAATCAACAAAGCAACCACAATCACAACAACAACCTCGACCGCAACCACAGCCAAAGCCACAACCACCATCACCACACCAACAACTGCAACAACACCAACAAAAAAATCACCATCAATAAAACATACCACAACAGTGAACATGATTCTGATGATAGCATTATTACAGATATTGATAGCAAATTAATGAATCGACCACGTGTTGTTCCTCATGTACGTACAGCCTGCACCAGCAGCTGCAGGGCCAGTACGATCTGATGCCGCTACTACTACCGCGATAGCTGCGGCATCTGCCGAATAAGGAGAATTGGCATGCCCATTAATCTTTACTGGTATTGCTGCTATGAGCGTGGTGCATCGTCTGGGTATCGTTCTGTCCAACTTAGGGACTTCGTCTAAATGTCCAAAATTTCCAGCCCGAAACCTCGACCCGAAACCGTCTCTTGAAGGAGGCTAAGGCCAAGGCTATGCCGGCAACATTGCTGTTTTCAGGGTATCGTCTCTCGGGCCCCTTTCGTTTTACAGCTCACCTCCCTAGCATTTGCCATCTACGACAGCCAACACCTACCTACGATAATCTCGACCAAATCCAAAATACGACTATCACTATTGCATCTGCAACTATAACTGCTACTGCTGCTACTGCTGGTTGCTTCTATCCGACTTCTCCGTTTTGCTGTGCATTACCATAACCTCACAGATGCCCTTAGCCCTGAACTAAACAGTGTGTACTGTCTGCTTGCAGAGCCACACCGTCTTGCTGGTCCCCGCTAAGACCATCCTGTCCGCCACTGCCTGGGAAGTCGCGGAAGGTTCAAAACTGAGGTTTTGGTTTTAGAACTTTTAAAGACCGCTACGTGTCGAGGGCGCGATGGATACTTCAGGGCTTTAGGACTTTACGGCACAGGCCATGGGTGTTCACTCATGCGGAGAAGGTTCGGGAAAGGGATGTAGTAGTTAAAACTCGGTGAACCCCTCGGCCACGCCTCAGCTGACCCTGGCTGCAGCAGCAGGGCTGCCATACCCACTGCACCGAGTGGCGCAGAGCCTGTGTCGGTCATAGCACGCATGACGCAATGTCGGGCTGGCATGGAGGTAAAAGAGGTTCAGATCTGCCATGGATGTAGCACGCAGAAGCGTAATCCCAACTGCTGCTCGAACAGGCCCCAACCTCCTGGAACGAAGCTTGGCAGGCTTGGAAAAAGGTAGATCAGCAGACCTCAAGTCAAACTGACAACAAATGATGCAGCGCCTGGCTTGGTCATCTTATCAGCTTGAGCAGGCCAAATGCGATGTACAAACGCGCAAGTGGTATTCAACACGCCTGGCCTACAAACGAAAGTAGGGGCAGCAGCAATCGGCGCGGACGCCCACGCAGCATGGCTGGCTAAAGCTTGGGTCCCTTCGGAGCTGCAGTCTGCAGCTCCTAAGGTTTCTGGGTTTCAATTTCCCAATTCAGGAGTATGTGTGTGTGTGTGTATATATATATATATATACATAAAGGAGGCTGCACGACAGGCTTCAAATGATCGCCAGTAGAAAGAGGCTATGCCTCAACGCACGACAGATCCGACTCTCCGGATGTGAGCTCAGTGGACTATGCGCAGCTTCAGATGTTGTGTTTGCTGCAATCGGCAACAAGAAAGTTGAAAACCCTTCATGCTAGCCAAATGAAATGGACATGGCACAATAATTCTTAATGCCATGTTCTTCGGCTTTGCCATGTTTTCGGTTTGGCTACGTCAGCTGGAAGGAAGCCGGTGCAAAATGCCAAGTCGCGCTCCTGGAGTTCCCAATTGATGGATGCCATCCTCTCCCTCCCCCGAAGTTCACTGAGCCAAGACCACTAAACTGCTTCAACGTTAGGGGAGGCCTCGGCATCGGGGAGCTCCCCCCGTGCGGCGAGGACAGTCATGGCACGGGCAAAGGTGTGCGCCTGGATCCGCGGGTTGGGGTAAGTCCGCTGAATTTGCATGGTCTACATTGCAACTGCTACTGCTATGCTATGCATTGGCTCCGAAGGTGCTTAGGCACCGGCACGAGCATACTGACGGGAACGGTATCCTGCACCACTACATGTAGTCGCGGCACCATGCAGATCCGTGCTCAAATCATGGACGAAACTGCTTCCAGCATCTTCCAGCGAACACCGCCCGAAACGGTGGCCTTTCTGAGTGAAGTTGCAGTGTCGAACCTGCAACCGCAACGGCCCACAAGTTTTGTGCTGGCTACAGCATGGCAGAAGCAGAATTGCGGAAAGCATGCTGCCTGCACCCCAGAGATCCCCAGAGCCATGGATGGTGCTACATGTCGCAGTTTGCAAGGCTCGGCTGTGGTAGCTCCTTTTTGCGTCTTGTGCACATGACAGGTTTAACGGTCGACTTTGATCCCTGCTGAAATGTCCCAGAAGTCACTCACGCTTTTTTGTAAAGACATTGGGCTTCATTATATTATAGTATATTGTTGTATATGCTAGTATAATATAGTATAATAACAAAAAGTCATAATATAGTATATTATAATGAGTTCTTGAGGACTGGGACGGTTCAGAGAACCTGCACCGTCTCGGGCACGACTTGCGGCCCGTTGCGGCGTCCTCCACGACCTACGGAATCTACGGAAATCTGCGAACCTACGAGGCATCCACGACAAGTCGACCGTATGCTTCAAAGCACCACCCACAGCCCAGGATCTCTCCTGCACCGTTTAGGTGCCTGTGAGCATCAGCAAAGATGCTGTGTTTCAGAGGATTCAAAGCTTGGGTGCTGCCACAAAGAAGCAGCCGGCCGTCGATGCGTCCTCTTTAATCCTGAGCAGCTGTGACGTGGCGCGGTCAAACTGTCACGCGGACCCTCGTGCATTCCAAGTCCCCGGCGTGTTCTCTAGTCGTCCGACACCCTCCACTTCCACCGCGACCCGATCGCCAGGCCTGACTATGAACGCAGCATGAGATGGCACGGCCCTCTAACCACGTGGCACATGTCGAGTCCGGGTGTGGCGCTTCAGCCACGGCTGCGGGCTTCGACCTTCGGCCACACCTCGGCGGGCTTCGCCCTCATCGACAGCGACAGCGAGTTGCAAAAGAAGCGTTCTAAGTCCCGGGCCGAAGGGCGTGCCTGCAAGTGAAAGTGGACAATCACTTGGTCGCGCCGTGCACTCGGCGCTCTCTGAATGCTTGGCCCAAGCCTGTGAGGATGACCGTCCCAGGCAGGAGCCTGCAGATGTGCCGGTTTGCTGGCATGGCAAAAGAGACGCGCTCCCAAAGCGAAGCCTTGTCCCTATTGAGAGGAAGCTGATGATCTGCGGCACCGAAAAGATCAGGTCCCTCGTAGAGGAATCCTCCAAGAGCCCACGGCAGCTGGCAATTAGCAGCAGGTTACCTGGGGGCAGAATCGCCGAAGGCCTGCATCTGCACGCCATTCACGAAGGTCTGAACCTTTGGCGACCGTGCCGTGTAAAGTTTGAATGAAAGCCCACAAGACGATCGCGCTGTAAAGCAGCCCGTGTTGATGTTGCCCGGTGTGTTCAGACTTTGCGAGACTAGGGAAGCGGCCCGGAGGGCACCAGGGTCCGGAATCTCGTCCTTGGTGACAAGGACAGGCCCCAGAGGGGCGAACCTCAGAGATCCGAAGAGGCCATAGATGGCCATAAATAGGCTCTACCCCGAACTGCCCCTGTGCCAACTCTACGGCTACGGCTACTGCGGATCCTCCCCCAAGGCGGCCGCCCGTCGAAGCTCTTGGATCGGCACCACTGGCCTGCCGAGCCGGAGCGAAAACAGACTCAAGGCTGCGAGACGAAACTTCGGCTTGCAGCGCACCTACGCATCACCTTCATGGTTTGCGTCTTTTTGGCATCTTGGGCCCACACTGCCAGCAATTTCTGGCAGTTTCTGCCAATCTCTGGTGGACAGGTCGTTCGCACACGTATACCTTGGAGGATGCGAGATGAAGCGTGGCTGCGGCAGAGGCCACATGCAAGATTGTGCGAGCGTAAACAACACCGGACGAGTCATTCGGCCAGCTTGCCCCAAGACATAGTCCAGCGCATGCTCGGGAGGCACATCCTGTGAGACTCGAGACGCTCAAGAACAGGCAACGGCCACTCTTGCAGAGGGAGTACCTTGTGGCATTCCGCAATGCCTTCTCAAATGCACTGCTGCACAGTAGCATGAAGTTGGATATATACTGCAAGGGGTTCGAACACTGGCAATGTACGGGCGATCCAGCAACACGGAATCTCAGGTTTATGTGATTTCGAGGGGGCGTCTAGACCCTAGCCACCTGAAGATGAAACCCAACCCATCCTGTGAAAACGTGGCGCCTTCCGAAGATGTCCTGAACCTGTATCCACACCATGTCATGTGATGTAACATGATGCCAGCAGCCTCTGCCCTGCCACCAAACCATACCGTGGGTGGGTTTGATGAGCGTACTAGGATGTACTAGGGTGTTGGGCTTGGCGCAGGGTTTTCCACACCATTTCCAATGCCTCAAGCAGTGCCATGAAGGTTGTTTGGTCCAGCTGTTTATTGTACTGGTTTGTAACGCCAGGGTGCCTCGGCAACTCGGGGGCTTTTCGTCGCAAGAAGAAACACAACCATGGAGCAACTGCAACTACAACAGAAGAAACGACAACAACAGCAGCAGCAACAACAACAACAACGGCGACAGCGAAGAGTCCTAGTCAGAGTTGCTGGTGTTTGCTGCATTGGTACGAAACATGACAGTTTACGGCGGTGTAGCCACGCCAATAAAAACTCTGGTGAAACCAAAACATTATGAAGCATGACTAACACATCCAAATACGCAAAGTTCATGATGGCAGTGCTCTAGGACACAGAATGTTTTTGTGCATGACGGTCCTTGCACTCCTTGCCGATGACAACGGCAAGCTCCACCTGGCAGGAATAACTTTCTGAGAGAAAGCCCCACGATCTTCATGGTGTCTGAAGTAACAGTACATTTCGTGTGCAGCTGGCAGACACTCTGTTGCGCATCCATGATTGCACAGTCTTTTACACAGGTCCTGCCAGTCTTCGTCCTATGACGATGATACGGTGAAACGCAACCGCCGACCGTGACACATTGAAACATCAACTCTAAGACGCAGATTTCCCCATCCGCAACCACTTAATTTTCATGTGACTGCGTGCGGATGGAGGGAAACTCGATGTGCCGGTGTCATATATCTTGAACCCTGCTTTTTGATTAAATTTGACTGCCGCCCGGAAACGAACGACTGCCTGACCTTCGAGATGTTGGAGCGCGTCTTCCTGGCGTTGGTTTCTGCGGATTGGAGAAATTCGAGCAACAGTCCACCTAAGCCGTCCACCTAAGCCTTTCCTTAGTTGCTGAGTTCGTCAACTCCTGATGGGATCGGTCTACCTTGCAGAGGACAATGATCAGGTCGTCCGTGTCGAAATGGGCAAAGAAGTATCGTGCAATAACCATGCAGCCAATGTGACCTGAGAGGCAATTTTGCCGCTGACCAAGTTTTCAATGGCTCTCAGCCGCATCTTCCAGCTTTAGGTCGTCGTACCAGGAACATCCGGCTCATTCTCGGCCAGAATATTCTCGGCGCCAGAATATGTTCGGCGTGCTTTTGAATGACAGGCTCCTCCTCGTCCTCTTGCTCTTCCTATGGTTCATCACACACGAAACGGTCTTCTTCCGGGTAAAACACGCGAAAAGCGTAGCAGCCCTAACAACGGCGCAGTCCGATTTCTGTACCTAGGAATCGAGCACGTCACACATGACACATGAAACATAGCTAACACAGTTTCTTCCAGTCAAGAAACGCGAAAACCGTGAAAACGCGCACGATCAGCAACTAGAGCTCCTCATAGCTCCTCCTCCTCGTCTTGGCCCCACTCCCACTTGCTCAACAAAGCACTGGCCGCGGCAGCCCGGGGTCGGAGTGCCGGGCAGTCTACATTGGCACCCTCTAAGGCCTTCGTCGCCTCCGAGAACTCGCCACCTCTCACTTTGAAAAGCAATCGATCCGGATTCACGGGCTTCATGTCAAATGTGAACCTGTCTTGAGCCCGAGCTTCGATTGGACGTTGGGTGAAACGATAGCTAGCCAGCCAGCTTTTTGAGTTATCCATTTGTGCAAACATCTAAACCATATATATATATATAACATATATACATGCATACATACATAATACATAGTATGTATCTAAGTAATTTAACTACATGCAAATGTGTATGTGTGTGTCGTGTTGCGTGTTCACTCTTAAGCACGACAAGATACAATGGAGATCCTATGCAAGCTGACGTTCGGGTTACGTTGAGTCCGCTGCAGGCCTCGTAGTCCATCTTCTCTGTGAGACGCGGCTTCACCTGGCCCGGGGCTGATGCAAAACTCAGAGGCTTCTTGATGCCTGTATCAATGGACGCTAAGGCCTCAAGTATAAGGCCTAAACCCGGCCTAGGAGTTCCAATGAGCCACTGGGCTGCCGGCGATGGCATCACCGTGGCCAGCTGCACAGGTCGTGGGCTTCATGAAAACCTTGTGACGACAGGCTCCAGAGGGTCCCAAGTGCCGAGACAGGAGCTGCTCTATGCATGTCCGCGTCTCGGCATCCTGCCACCGGGTTCTTCGGGTACGGCAGCTTCAGCTCGTCGGCATGTGCACGGTAGTTGAGGCCTCTGTTCAGCGTTTCAGTATGTGAATCTTCCCTATCATACGACATAGACTAGATTCGTACCAACACTGACTATACCTATACACATTGATAAACTTATCGTATCTGGACCTATGCCCCTACGAATACTTACACATACTCTTGATCATGGACAAACTGTTCTTACACGTATACATATACTAGACATGCTACCACAAAGCACAATCAGCACACACTTCGAACACAACAAAAGACGCAGAACTCCGAGGCATGCGCCGATACAAATGATGTCCTGGCTGTCAGATCGAGCTCTGAGTTCACTCCGGTTTGCAACGCATTCTCTCACCAAGCTGAATCTTTCCCGTGCTAGCTACATTCTGTTCCTTGGTATACTAGGAAGCATTCAAAAAACACTAATTATCTCTTCATATCCCAAGAACAGTACGATAACAGTATGCTACAGAGGAGGGCGGCCCGCGGAGGTTAGGCGCGCTCGCGACAGCCGCGCACGGCGATTAGGCGGCCCCTGAAGTGGTGCAGTGGACACAGTCGACTGAAATTTGGCTTCGTGCTGCCCGCGTCAGCTGGGCATGCCGAATCTAGTGCAAAACCCTACTGCGGCGTTTTCCAACTTGACTAATCGCTGCGCTCCTGCACAGCGACGCACGTTTTCGGAATTTTTTTAACAGGAATCATTCGTGCTCCTGTCAAAAACTGGCACTCAAATCGATCAAAGTCGCTACAGTCCTAGTAGACCTCCGTCACGCAGTTTTGCCTGTAAGTCGTGTTTGCGCACTGCCACACAGCCCCTCTCACATTTCTGGGGTGCCAATCCTACTCTCGTCTTAGTTTTGGACTCATGGGATCTGGGTAGTAATAACTTTTACAACAAAGCGGCAATGATGAAGATGATGATACACCATCATCATCAGCAGCAGCATCACTAACTATAACACCAATGAGAACAATGACAAAGTAGCGGCAATAATCTACACACACGCACACCCTCCATCCTGATTTAAGGCAGGCGAGCTCCCTTCTGATGCTTGTGGATCTTCGGGCTTAGAGATGAGGGGTCTAGGGGTTTTGGGGTTTAGAATTTAGGGCTTCGTGTTTTGCAGCTTAGGGTTATAGGGCTCAAGACCCGAGCCTAGCCCTGCAAGCTCCTGCGGCTTCACCGGCGGCAGGAATCGGCCGACGGACACCTGGGAGCCCAGTGTGGATCACAAGCAGATGCAGTAATGTGGCAAGCGCCAAACATGTTATATAGGCCTGATAGTAGAGTAGAGTCTGAGTAGAGTAGAGTATAGCATGGCGAAGTTCTTTTAGTAGAATACAGTATCATATCGCATAGCAGAGTATAGTACAGAACATCATAGCATAGCTCGGTATAGTATAGTATAGCATAATATAGTGTAGCACCCCCTCCCCCTCCGCCACGCAGAATGCACTTACGCCTCTTACAGAGAGCAACCCCTAAACTCTAAACTCCAAGCCC